AAACTAGAGATCACCAACCATCTAATGCAGTGGTTCCCAACCTTTTTTTATGTCATTCCCCACCAAAGCCTTTCTAAAATGTGTATGTCCCCTTGTAACATATACATATTCCACCATACGGTTCATTTTCAATTTGACCCCCTTAGCAATCAAATTGCCCACCTGTGGGGCCTGGGGTCCACGTTGGGAAACACTGATCTAAAGGCTTCATGGTTTTTCAAACGCATACCCTCAAGAGCATCTGGCCTTCCAACTTTCCAACGAAGAATCATTATGGCATGTTCAGCATCTTTCGAAAAAAAAATGCACGAAGGAATATTTCATAAAAATAAACATTATCCTGCAGTAAACAGCGCTACAACACTTACAATTCCTGTATTGTGTGCATTATGCCAACAATATACTCATGCGACTGAAACCTGCCCAAACAACATCAAATGCACCAAAATGTCAGTGTCCTCATAACTCTGTTCCAAACGGCCAAAAAAACTATCGATATCCCCAGGTCAGCCACTACGAATAATATATTACAAGAACAGATTACAATTCATAACCACATAGTCACTACATGTATTAACAAATTGAACTCCCGGAAACAACTCCATAGACCTGCTCTGGTCCAGCGTTCGAAGAAACGGTTCATCGTTAATTACAATATTGATCTGCTTTTCGGGCAACTTTGCGTACATTCTACATTTTAATGTATAAAACTACATTGATAAAATTTGCATTTATTTCATTATTATTATTATTATTACGGAGTAATTATCTATATAGGAATGTCTTTTTATTTATATTACATACTACTTATAATTTTACTCATTAGAGAATGTTCGTTTTTGTTGGTTTTATTATTAGTAAGGAAATTTTATTTTTTTATTATTTGTTCACCATTTTTGAAGTTCGCATTATTTTTTGGAAAATGTCAAAAACAATAACAACTCAATCGGGCTGCGATAAATACCGCTGCTGAGAAGTTTTGCAGTTTGTTTGAAATTGTAAAAATGTGATCATTAATGTTGATTTTTGTAAATGTAAATGTGGACGTAAACCAAAAGACTATAGTGAACAGATTGAAAACATTGCCACAATTTCGTTTTGCAAAAAAAAAAGCACATTAAGATAATTGGCACATGAATCTAAAATTTCCAAAAGTACATTACACAAGAGAAAAAAGGAAAAGAAATTAAGAGAGTTACAAGTTTTGTAAAACCGTTGTTGACCCATGAGAATAAACGCCAGGGCGTTTTTACGAAGTTCGACTTTAATGACTTCTATAAAATGTAATAAAAGTGCCGTAAAACAGCGCAGGTTTTTTTTTTTAATAATGTTTAAAATCTGTTAAACTGTTGTGACTATTTATCTATATTTCCTCTTTGAATTAAAAAAATATTTCAGTAATTCCTCGTTTTCTTGCTAAATCAATATTATGATCAATAGTTTAGAAATTCTCTTAAAAATAGATATTATTAATATAACTATTATGATTAGTTCATATATAAATACTTTAATCTGTATATATAATATTCTAATATTCTTCTCAAAAAAGAAATAAGGCAATATTTTGAGATTATACAGATTATCCTGTTAGCCAAGAGGCTATCGTTCCAAATCTTCATATGCCTTAATTCAATGTATTAAAACTAGCATTAAGTAATTATTCTTATAAGATTGAATTAGTTTATTAGCATATAAGCGAGTTTTTTTTTGTGTAATACTTTAGTGATGTTGATGCTGGGGAGACGTGAAGCAAACCTCTATTCCCAAGCTTGCATCATTTTATAAATATATAAATACACTTTTTTTTTTTTTCTTTAATGTATATAATACATATATAAATATGAGAAATAAATTATGAGGAGGTCCACCTCAGTCGCCATAAAGAATACGAATTTATCGATAGGAAGGCTCCGTGGGGGGGCCGAGAAGAGTTTTATGGCCACCTCGGCACACGCCAACTTTTATTCCGCTCGCTTCATTTGTTTTATACCATCATACCTCTCTCTCTTTCTATCTTATATTTTCTTGTATCTTGGTTGTCTCTTCTTGCTCTTTTATTTTTTCTTTAATCATCTTCTACTTTTATTTCCACGTATATTTACGCTTTTAAAAATTCCACAAAACTAAATGCATATCTTCATATTACTTTGAGATACGCGTAGGGGGTGCAGGGACGGCGGCACGCGGAACAGAATTCATGAAATTACTTACATTTCTTAATTTTATTACACGCGGCACCCAAAAGCCGAACATTACATTCCAACGTTATTTATACCTTATTTTATGTTTCTCAGCATCATGATTTATGCTCTGTTTCCTTAGCAATATTTCCTCAGAAAATATTCTTTATTTTTTTATTATTGTTAATTCACACATTATTTTTCTATATATAGTGAAACCTCGCTTAACGAGCATAATCCGTTGCAAAATTTCGAGATTTTTACTCGTATAGTGAGACAATTTTCCCAATATAAACTAATGTAATATACGATAATCCATTTTGCGAAACATTTTTCTTACATTTTATTTTGCTCGTTAAGCAAAACTCTCATTATGCCAGGTGCTCGTTAAGCGAGGTTCCACTGTATACTTTTTTTTTCTACAAAATTAAATTAAATGTTATGTATAATTATGATTGATTACAAAACTTAGTAATTTTTCACTACAATTCATAATATATTTTTAAATATTTGATTTGAAAAACTTCCTGTAATTTAATAATAGGACATTTATTTCACATAAAAACTGTGTTTTATACAGTTTTTATCTTCTATTGTAATTTATAACTAAATTACTTATGTTCAAAACAATCATTATATAAATTTTTATTACCATACATTCTTTTTTTTGTAATTTTATAAATATTTCTATCAATCAATTTAGTTTTTTTTTTGGAAATTTAGGAATACAAATATTTATCATAAATTAAAAAAAACTGTTGTATAAAATTCTTATACACATTAAAAAATCAATTTAGTTTAAAATATACAAGAAAACAAATTGGCTACAAAAAAATAATAATGTCTTCAATTGCTTTGGGCAATAATTTATTACTACTTACTTATCTTATGACTACATCAAATTAACTTAATATTAGATATATTATGTTAGATGTGTCTTGTGTGATTGTGATAAATGTATTTTGCAGGTTCCGATCATTTTCATATTATTATTATAGCGAACATCTTAGTAGGTTTTAATAAATGCGATAAATCAAGATTGAAATGTACCCCTGACCTCGATATTCCGGACAATCCGAGATGGAAAGTTTATGAAGATTCATCGCGTGTAAACTCTGCACGCATTCGTCATTGCGCGACATGTAATGTGTCTTCCAACTTGGAATGAGTGCCACTTTCTTCAATTGCATTCAAAATGAGTCTAAGAACTTTAAAGAGCAGACAGATTCCTCTTATTTATTTAAATTTCACAAAAGATTTCGGTTTAACTCTATGTATTTCTTATTTTTTAGCAATTACATTAAGTAAGAGATATATGTTTTTTGAATTCGTATTTATTGATTCATTCAATATTCAGATATATTAGTATTTAATATTAATAGTGAGGAGTGCTGTAATTTGGGAATTCAATACATTTTGAAAAGAATAAAGAAATTCTTTAAAATTGATTGTATTTATTGACACATTCAGTATTCAGTTATGTTTGTAATGGATATTAACAAAAAAAAAGTAAGCTATGATCTGAAATCCAATTAATTCTGAAGAAAAGAAAATTATTCTTGAAAAATCGAACGTATTTATTGATACATTAAATATTATGTTACGTTAGTATTGAGTGTTAGGAAATCTGTAGTCTGGAATTCAATGAATTCTAAAGAATAGAAATCTATTCATGAAAATCGATCGTATTTATTGATACATTCAATATTCAGTTATGTTCGTATTGAATATTAACAGATTCAATAATGTTTAGGTAAGCTGTAATCGGCGATCCAATGAATCCAGAAGAAAAGGAAGTGGTGTAACGATTTAGTAGAGGTTTTATCTGTTGGTTAGGATCGAAATGGTGGAAACCCACCGTTGGAATAGTGTCGGAGGAGGAATGGTGGTTTCGGTGTTCGTTTTGTGTCGACGGGTAATTGTGTTTTTCCTAATCGCCGTCTTCGATCTCTTCGAGGCATGTTACCGAAGTAAAGTTGACACGATCCACGATGTTTCTTCCGTGGTAGCCTTTGGAAAGCAGCTGGCAACGTCGCCGAAGAGCAATAATAATATAAAACACCCCCACGTGTCTTCGGTTTAACGACGTGTAGGTGAGACAATGGAACGGTGGCCGGGAGGACTTTGTAATACAGTTGTTTCCGCGGAAATTATTACGATTCCGGAGTGCTGCTGCTGCTGCCGTTACGGCTTCCTCGTCTACTCATTCTTCATCCTCCACCTTCTCTTCTTGTTTGTTATTCTTCCTCATTTTCCACCTCCAATGTGCATTGAAATTTATGTAGATTGAGATCCACTCTGAATACGAAATGCTGCAGTAATAATAATAATAATGATAATCGTGAACGTGTGGCGATAACCCTTTCGGTTGGTGCCTTATTGGGATTTTAATTCGAATTCGACTCGTGCTCGCATTATGGATTTGATTAGATCATTGGTGATTGATTTATTTTTATTTCGGCCTTCCTCTCCGTATTACGATCATCATCATCTTCGTGGTCTATGGGGGTGCAATCATTTTCACAGCAGGCTCCGATGACCTCAATCAGAAAATATCACCTGGATTTATCAAACAAATTCTTTTTTTTATATACATTCAGGATAAAAATAATTGCTTTTTCTCCTATTTATTTTTATTCTATTCGTACTCTTATATATCAACACGTGGCTATATAACACAACATTCACGAAAAACAATTTCATTATAAATAATAATTACTTTCAATGCCTTATATAATACAGAATTGAAAACAAAATATATTTTTCGTATATTACTTCTACGATAATTTACTTATATTAGTTAATTACAAATAGATTTATTTAGATTTCAGTGTACAAATAACTTTTAGTTCCTATATGCATCTTAAAAATTCTGATTTTCGGTTCATCTGACATCTTTAGTGGTCCGATGAAAAAGTAATTCACAAAATCAGCAAGATTGTAAATATTACCAGCGTCATCCATACCGAAGCTATCCGGCCAAATCATCTCTTTATTATTAGTGGTAACTGTTTTCAGGTTCAAGTTCTGTTCATGTATATTCCATTTGGCAATAGAATTTTCGGTGATTAAACCGACATAAAGATCACCCTTATTATCAACGATCATACCATCGCCTATAGATGGTCTAAATCCTAAAAACTTAATCTGATTCCTCCAATTCGAAGTGGCTGCTAAAGTTTCGTTTCTAAGGATGCAATCGCTGATAGAATGTAGATTGTAGCTGCTCAAAGGAGAGTAGAAGATTTGACGTTCTGCAGATGGATTTTTCGGAACTGGAGTCATGGCGATCGAATCCATATTTAACACAATAGGAACTTGTATTCCACCGACTGTATAATTGACCACCTTAAGATTAGCAAACATTGTAGCATCTCGCAGCTTCCAAGACTTCTTTTGCTTCATGGAAAATACTATTAAGCCCGGATCGGAATCGCTGGAATCCGTGATATAAGCGTAACCTCCGAACCTCTCCTCCAGCACGATGTCATTCAACCAACAACCTTTACTCATGCAAATCTCTTCTGGAAACGTGTACGAATACACCACTTTTCCGCCTCTATTCAAATCCAAAAGCACCAATTTCCCTGGACATTTTGTAACATCTCCATTTCTCGTCCCATCCAAAACCCACATGATTCCTGATCTATCGATTTCTAAGCTTTGAACATTCTGTAGGGTCTTGCAACTCTTCTGGGGATTCATAGACCAAGATGGGTAGGGCTTTAACAGTGGATTACTCTTAACTCCACCACCAGCAACATTCTTCATTGTAGCTAAAGTCACCGGAGTACCTTGACTCGATCGCATCAATGCCATGTAAATGTTATCCTTGTAGAACTTTATAGCAACAATGGCGTTATTCTGAGGTACATACGTACCATCTCGGACGGCTTTTTGGTACGCACCCTTCGTAGGCCAAGTGAAGTTTACATATGACCATTCATATTCAACTTGAAATTGAGAGTTTGCTAACATGCAAAACGCAGCGACAAAGGCAGTAAGGTAAAGCAACATTATAGAAATGAATTTAGAATTTGAAACTTCAACTATTTATACCTTTAATTAAAAATAATGAAGTACATTCATTTAGATTGCACCAAATTACACTCATTATATGTTTAAAAACAACAAAATAAACGCTATACAATTACAACTAATAATCAATTATTTACATAACAACAAAATATATAAGTAATAATGAACTTTATAATTAGAATGCGTCATTTGAAAGTAAATAAAATTCATACAATTTTTGTATACAGTTTTATTTAAAAAAAAAAGTTGATAAAAAACGATATTTTATTAAAATACATTTGTAATGCATCATTTTCTTTCAAGATAATTAAGAAATACGAAACATTGTTATATAATTTAAGAAATCAATTAAAATGTAGATAATATGAAGGATGTGTATGGTTATAATACTTTCTTTATGATCTAAAGGCTGGAAGTATATCGAAGCATAATATAATTTAGTTTACTAAAAGGCGGAGACCGTAAATAATTTTCGTGCGAGCATGAAAATTCCGGTACGTCACGGAGGAGAACCGTACGTCTGTCTACACAACTCCATCCAAAGTGCAAAATGCACGAAGAAGTGGAACAAGGAGGACCAAGACATCGATGATGATGACGGCTTTGATGAAGAGTAGGAAAGAAGACAGTGTAACAGTGGATTGTTAGGGTATTGCAGCAAACAACAGGAAACGAGAAGGTAACGCGTCCTAGAATTCCACACACCCATATCGCCAACTTGCACTAAAGCTGCATGCCTAAACGCACACGGAAGTTGCAAATGACCATTTTAGAATGGGAATGGCAAGGAGCAAAAGAAGAAGATAAAAAAAAACGAGCAAACAGTAACAGAAAAAAAAGCATCACACAAGACCGATGGTGTTCGCGAAGAGCAGAAATTCCCCCCAGTCTTAAAGTCAAATTAACCATTACCATTAAATAGCGATTACAATTAATTTGATACAGGACGTACCGCCGCTAAATCAAGATACGTTTTATTGTATCACGTTTACTGTTATTGTAGCTCTCAGTTCGTTTCATTTTGTTGTTTTTTTTGCACTTCAATTATTCACAAGACCTTTACTTCTATTATTGTGATCCGAAAGGAAATCTACTTCCTTTTGCGTTAATTTCAATCCACCAAATTCGAAACCTAATTAACGGCCGATTAAGATTTTTATCGTCCGTAACAGAACCAAATTAAATACGAGTTGCTTATTTAGATGACAACTACAGATAGAACGCATATTAACTTAGTGAACGATACTTTTCTAATTTATTCCGATGCAACTTCCATCATATTTATTGTTTTATCAGATTAACTGCGAAATTTAATAATTACAATCGAAAAAAAATAGTTAATCATTTCATTCTTATCTATTTGCATCAATGAAACCGCTCCAAAATAAAATTATGTTTATCAGTTTCGATATTAATTACTTTTTACTAATAGATATCAATGGAATAGTAAAATAAACTCATTCATATATTGAACGACTTTGTAACTGATAAGGTAAAAACTCGTTACTATTAATTTTACTTTTTATTCTTTTTATATTTGTTCATAAATTTATCGTTTTTTTTAATATTTAGACTAATAGAAAATACGAAATTAAATTATCTCTGGTAAAAGAAAATTAAAATATCTGAATTATTAATACTATACAAAAAAAACAAATTACTATGATTTATAAAACAGTACTATAATAAATTAATTTCATAATTTGTATGTAACGTACAATTATTAATAGATGTTGATATTGATAATTAAAAATCGCTATTTAAATAATTCACAAAAACCATTAAATATACATTTCACGTTTGATAATTCAATAACACGTTTCCTTTTTACATTGATTGATCTGTTCCGTTCTACTCTAGTGGACAACTACCTTTGTAACCATGAAAGCTCGTTGTTTCAACTGACCATTCAATTAATTTTCTTTATGCCGGTAAACTAAATATTTTAATTTGATTTCTGTTTTTATAGTAGCAGAAAAAAAATAACTAAACATTTATTATCATGTTACATAATTTAAAAATATTAAACAAAAATCTGCATGAAAAATAAATAATTCCAGAACGAATACAAAAATTATATTAATTCAATATTAAACTAAAGCAATCTGGTAATAAGAAAGTAGTTGTAACATATTTACAGCTACAATGATTTCAACTTTATCTTATAATTGTATTCTGTAAGAAGCTTAAACTAAATTGGTTAATTGATGGTTTATATAAATACTATGTTAACAGTAGTTAAACGTTATTTGGAATAAGCTCCAGGGCTTCTAAACTATAGTTGTTAGAGAAGAAACTAGAGCTAAAGTCCAAATTATTAAAATATAAAGCAATTTGAATAAATAAATAGTGAGCAGTGCATGAACATAAGTAATGATTAAATTATGTGCGCGTCTTTGAGATAAAGACTGGTTTATTGTCGCTAGGACCACCCAAAAACTGATAATTCATAGGGAAATTACACGCTATTACCCTAAAATCGTTTTAGATTGTATGGCGATAAGAGACGGTAATTGCGACCACAAGAAAACCGTCTTGTATCATCGTAGCTTTATTGCCCTTTTTTTAGGACGTGTTGGGTCACATTTGGGGTCACTTGCTTTTCCGGTCCTATCGTTCCCGGAAATCTATCCTTTAGGAAGAATCGCCCTTGGCTCATTCGCATTTCTTCTTCTCGTATTTTATATAAATATAATATATACACGTAGCGTAAGTATATTTATTTGTTTTATCCCTGTAGCCTCGAAATAACGTATTTATTTACCTGTTGTTATTTATCGAAACGCCTAATCAAAAATTTATTATTTATTATTAATGATCACTCCGCTCGGTCCGACTCGCTTCTTATACTTATATATCTCCTTCTTCTTCATCTTTTTTTCTCTCTCTGTTGATTTTATTTGTTTCTTCCTTGAGGCCGTTTCTCTCCAACCAGTGTCTTCTTGAAATCTATCCGTCCTCCGTTTTTCCTGTTGCCACATGTGAAATTGCTTTCTGCCGTTCCGGCGTTGTTGGTTGTTGGCATCGATCGGGCTTCAATGATAATAATATGCAGTCGCACATAAATTAGCCATTTCCACATAATACGAATGCACGCTTGTATCTATCATTTGTGCCGAGACCGGTGACATAATAGAATGTTCCACATTGCCAGCTTTATCAAAACGGCGAATGCATTATTCAACGCGCTGTTTTATCGGCATTCCCACGGCGTAAGTCGCGAAACACGCGCACCGCACCACCACCAACACACGTCCCCTTCATCCATCCATCGATTCCATCCATCCTAACCTCCATCCATCGATTCATCCATCCACAATCCATCAGAGTTTATACCATAGACCCGAACGCGAAAAATATCTACGGATATATGTATAGGTTTTGAAACAATTATCCTTATCCAGAGACTAGGAAATCACATCGAATACGCGTCGTGCATTTGCTACTTTCCTGATCTTCAGCTACAATAGGTCATAGGTATTGCTTTCGTATTATGTCAACTGGAAACTTTCAGTCTTTTGTCAAACATCCATATATCATCTTAATAAGATACTAAATTCTATGAACCTTTCTTTACAATCAGAACTCTACCAGATAATGGAAAAGTTATGGAATACAAATAAACCAGAACGAGAAAATATTTAAGGAAAACGTGCGACGTAAATAAATGAAACATTTTATTAATTCAAAGAAAAATACACTAATTATATGAGTATTTTTTCATTGAAGCAAGAAACCAAAGTATCAACATTCAATCTTGATTTGTCGAAAAATCATTACCAATTGAAAAAACTCATTCAACTGCTGTATTAGTTCCAAGGTATCACAACGTAAATTCAACAAGAATAACTAAATTTTTATATGGAATGTGTTTATTTTTGAATTGATTAAATATTTTCACCAATCTTTTATCAATTTCAACATGTTGATTTTCCCATTATTCTAATTTAACAGAATTTAAATAGATATTCAGTCTTCTAATTTCTTCAAACAGACAAAGGTCATCGATAAAATATTGAAAAGGAGAACACTTTTCAAGGAAGGACAGAACCTACAAAAAAAGGACTGTCCTCACTACAAGTGGACGGTTGATCACCTTAATATTAGCAAACATACAAACATTTCAAAAGTAAACTCGGTACTAGAATGTAGCTACATCATAGTTATATAAAAAGGAACGTTTCTCTTGTATTTTTTTATAGTTTCCAACTTTCATACTTAGAGACACAGATCGGCAACAAATTAAAAGAAAAAAAGGAACATGCCTTTAACTATTTTTTAACATTAAAATTGAAAATGTCTAGGCGAGACGCATCTGGCCCTCGGGCCGTACATTGCCCATCACTGCTGTAAGAGATAAAATTACATAAATAGTTGAAAAATATACTAATCAATTTGATAAATTTTGCTTTCCTAATCAGAAAATGAAAAAAATAGTGAAACAAATATAAACAAGTGATTTTGTTCAATAGTAATAATTGTATAAAATAATGAACTAAAGCAAAATGAAACTAATTAAACTAATTATTTACACCATTAATGATAATTTCAATTGATAAACTTAAATATTCTAAGTCTGCTGGTAACTAATTCAATGACCTTAAAAAACGTGACAAAATGATGTTTGCATTTGAAAATAATATTAAATATTTACTAAACATTAAGTATTGACAACAACTTATTAGTTTTTTAATTTAAATTTATTGGTTTATTAATGATGAAAAATAATAACATAATTTCATTAAAAAAAAGAAATAAAAATAGGCCAATGACTAGACACTAATATTTATGTATGTGATAAATGTTTTGCAATTTCCATCAATCGACGATTGTTTTATAAACACACATTATTTCATTCATGACCAAATAAGGCGACGTCGTCTAGCCAAGCGCCGGCACTTCTCGGATCATAATCATAAGGCGACTAATTATGACGCATATTTGTTTATCAGGTAATTCCATTATGCAAATTAAAAATT